CCTTAATCCGAAAAATGGATTATAAATTGTAGATTAAATCAAGCAGCCCAAACACCCATTCTAGATTAGTAAATATGCACACACTTAGCTTTCCCAGCTAAATTAGCTAAAACTTTTGAGGAGGGAGAATGGAAGCCAGCAAAAAGAAGTTACCCAAAATTGGCATGGATCCTTTACATAAGCCTTATTGTGAATAATCACTAAATAAGTATGTTGAAGTAAACAGGAACAGAAACATCACCTGGCTTGTTCTATACTAACACATATCAATTAGTATAGAAGAAAAATTAGTAATCTGCAGGCCTAATTTTAATAATCCTCTGTAAGAGATAAATTTGGATCTCAGTGATGAAAGTGTTTTTCCTCTAAAGATATCAGAGGATGAGTATGTAGTGTCAGAAAGAAATAAAATCTGTCAAAGAGAAGGGGGTATCTATCCACTTCTGCTGCTGTCTACTTACTGTGGCTCTAACTTTTTTTAAAAAGCTGTCCAAGCCTAAATAAAGCCTGGAATAAATTCAAGACTATAGCCATACAATGGTCAGTTCAGATTTCAGAAATGTCATAGTATTATAGAATTACAGAACCTAGTTACAGGTCAACTGTTTTTTGGGGTTTTTTTGGACTTTAAAGGCTTATCAAGAAATAATACTTGAAGAGAAATAATACTGTTTTAGATCCACTGAAATGTGTATTAAATAGAAAATAAAAGGACTCTTAAGCATTTCATTATTTCCTGTTATTAAAACAATAGGAATGCCATGAAAATGACCTGAAAAAGAAGGCAAAGGTCTTTGAAAGAAGTTTGTAAGGCTCCTTTCTTTGTCGTCTGAAAATACTTTTTTCAACAGAGTATCCTTAAGCTTCTGATCAAAGCTTTGTACAAACTCTTCAATAAAATTAAATAATTTAGCTTTATCAGCAGTATAGGTTATGTGGTTCTCCAGCATAGCAGAAATTTTATTTTTTTGCAAGAAGCTAAAAAAACATTCCCCAGTCCTTCTCTTTAATTTGAAATCATTTTATAACTGGGTAAAATGTTCTTATGATATCTCAAAGGAACTGGGCTTTTTGATAAAGGGTTTCTATTATATTAGCCCCATATCTTTTTTCAAAACCCAAATGTTAAACTACCTTCTTCCAGCTAACTTAGGAAAACTATTACAAAAAGGATGCAACAAAGTAACCTGATAACTACTTATATATGGTACTAATCAGGATAGTTATTAAAGAGATGCAATTCTCCTTTCCCCTATTTAATGACATCCATCATTAAAAATGGATTGAATCCGCATGTATCAAGATTTCATAGCAGAAAGAACATGAACTGCCTCTACCTATGAAAGCAAAGTTTTTTCAAAAGGTGAATGCTTAAATTACCCATGCTTCCTTAAAACTATGCAATATTTTATCTATATACAGGTAGTCCTTGACCTTTGATACCACTTGGGACTGTAATTTTGGTTCCTAAACTATGCAGTAGTTAAAATGATGTATCATGTGACTGAAGTTGATTTTACAATCATTTTTACTTTGGTCGTTAAGCCCATCATGCAATTGTTATGTGAATCATGTGGTCACTCAGCAAATCCTGATTTCTGATTTTACTTGTTAGAAGCCAGCTGGGAAAGTTGCAAATTGCAATCATGTGACCACAAGATGTTGTAGCTGTTGTAAATACAAGCCAGTTGTCAATCATCTGAATTGCAATTGTGAAGAGGTGCAACAGTTGTAACTTTGAGGATCTGTCTGTGGGTGTACAGCTAATAAGGCTAGCTTGGTCGGTCAACAGTGAGACACTGGTGAAACGGGCACAGCAGCGCCTGCATTTTCTGCGTCACATGAGAAAAGTACATATTCCTTCCCCTGTCCTTACCACTTTCTATAGAAGGATTATTAAGAGCATCCTATTGCATTACTGTCTGGTTTGGAAGCATTGCTGCTTCACACAGGAAGGTGGTGCAGATTATTTTCATTTCATTTTTTATATTTCATTTTCTTCTATCCATGACATAGCATGTAAGTGGTGCTTGAGCAAGGTCCACAGTATTGCCTGGGAAGCTACATATCTTCTCCATGACCTCTTTTCCTTATTATCTTCTGAGAAGAGGCTTCGTGATATCCAAAACAACATCTAGACACAGTCAAACATCAACCTTGTGAACTCTCAAGTTTTCCTCAGCGTTGGTAGGGCACTTTGTATCAGGAGACCTTCTGCCACCATTGCTTTCCCTTCTCCCCGTGCTGCCGCGGCGTTTAGAACAATGCCGTGGCGTTTGACGCAGCCACATGACATTTGGCGCAGCCACGCGTGGCCAGCCAGGGCTCCTCCCTGCAACTGGAGCCCGGCAGAGACACTCGGCTTCAGGTGCTCCTGTCGCCGCCTTCCCGGGCATCGTTCGAAGGCAAAGCCCATTCTTTTAAAAACAACACCCTACTACTGATACGACAAAGCCTCCCCTGCCCAACCCCACGTGGGGAGGTGAATCTCCCAGGGCCGCAGTACAGGATCGGCCCACCCCGGGAGAAGCTCCCAGCCGCCATCCCTGCCTAGCGCTGGGCAGAGCGCGAAAAGCTTTGCCTGGGGTGCCCAGCGCAGCTGACAGGCGGGCCCTCCTGCCCAGTGGCGGAGCTCTGGCCAAGGCAGTGAGCGCCTCCCCGCCGGGCCCTCCGCTCATCCTGCCAGGGCCGTGCTGGAGCCAGACGGGCTGGGCAGAGCTGGGAAAGTGAGCCGCAGGTGCGCGCCCGCTTGCCAAGTGAAAGAGCCAGGCTGACCCGAGCTTGGCTTCCCAAGTCCCTCCAGCCCGATCCTGAAGTGGCCACTGGGAGAGGCTGCCCGACGCAGTGATAGCGCCCACCCATCCGCAGACAGGGAGGTGAGGTGACGGCAGAGCTGCTTCCCTGGCCGGCGGGTCTGGCGGAGAGAGCCCGAAGCCGCCCGTCCTTTCCACCCCTTGCCCAGCCCGTCCCGGTCCCCACACGTTTCCAAATGCGCTGGCAGCTCCAAACGCTGCAGCGGCATGGGCATCGGCCCTCACTCAGCCGGTCTCAACTCGGGGGAGGATGTGGTGTGGGCCGTCGCCTTGCCTCCCTGTCCACAGATGGGTGGGCACTACCACTGCCTCGGGCAGCCTCTCTCGTTGTGTATATATGTGTTATGGATGGGTATGGGTACTTTTTTTGAGAGCAAACAACAGAATTTCATTTTTAATGTGGGTCAGTGTGTTCACAGAAAAAAATGACAATAAAGTTATCTGTTTTAACTCACTTTTTCCAATGTCATAACTTTGAACCATCAATAAACCATCAAGGACTATTTGTACTACTAAAAACTCTTGTCACTGTTTGTAATCTTCAATTGGGTGAAATGGTATGTCACAGGGGTCCCAACTCACAGGGCATGGACTGGCACTGGTCCATTGCCTGCCAGGAATCAGTCCATGCAAGGCAGATAAGCCTTATCTATGCACATGCGGGATGCAGACAGCACATAAAACTATGCTCCCCCCCCCCACTCTGCAGAAAAACCGCTCTCCATGAAACTGGTCCCTGATTCCCAAAAGATTGGAGACTGCTGGTCTATCATATGGCAACAATTTTTGAATCAATGAACATCAAATGGGTTAACTTACATAATTTGTCCAAAATCTGGGAGTCATAACAGGAATGGGTCTGAATGTTAGTTTTGTGACTGCTTCAGTGCAGCTGTGCTGGGTGGCACTATAGTCAGTTGTAGTCATATGATCATCATTTCTGACATTCCTGGTTAGCTTCCTATGAAAAAAGTCAATGAAAAAGCCAGCTGGTAGTTGGAAATTGCTTCCACTCCCATTGCTTGTTTGGCCACTAGCAATCATTCTGTTATTCTGTTTAGGAAAGAAAAGATCTCTGAATCACTGATCCAATAAGTCATGGGTTATTTAGTATATGTTAAAAACAGATTCATATCTTCAGTGGCTATCACTGATAAAAGGCAAGAAAGTTCTCATTTTAGGATATTGAAGAAAATAGGTTAACTGATAGGGGGGGGAGGTTATGTAAGCTGAGTTTTAAATATAATTTTTTAAATTATATTTTTACCAATACACATATTTTTTCTTTTTAGAAGAATAAAACACTTTTATATATTACACATCTGTAATTACATTGCACACAGATAGCATCTTTCTTTTAAAAATGTAAAAAGCACTTCAAAAAAAGTATTCACCAGATAATTATGTAACATTTCATCTTTCATACAAATTCCTTGGTAAACAATTTGATTTGACCCAACTAAAATAGTATTAAGCCTTAATCATATTTGTGAACTTATTAGTGTACTTATTTTTATGTTTCTACTTGTTGATTTCTCAATTTTTTGATTGTTTTGATCTTCTGATAATATGTGGCATTAAGACCTCAACCTTAAAACATTTTGTAAGAATTTCAAATAAAAAAATCCTGATGCTTTGCATCACTTCAGAAATAGTCTTATATCAGTTGCTAGATTTTACCACAATATAAAAATTGGAGTGTTACCAGTTTTTGGGTTACCATTTGTGGGTATTTAGTCAAGGAAAATTTAATATAAATGCAGTACTTTTCATAGTTTGGATCCCAAAGTACTTCTGTATTCACATCTCCTATGAGAGGTTGAGTACATAAAGAAGAAAAATACAGCAATCACAATTCCGTTGATAAGCATCTTGGATCTGATTCACTGTGAATTTATCAAATGAGTTCATATTATTTTAACCTAAAACTGACATTTTTTAATAACTAAAACCATCATCAATATATGCAGTACTGTGTGTGCTTAAACACATTGTAACCAATAGCTTTGCCACATCTAATTCTGCACAGGCATTTATCTCTAGTTGTCCTTTATATATAGTACCCTCATTTTCACATTAATGGATTTCCCAACACCGCAGCCCTTCTTGTATCTTCTGAAAAGGGGAAAAACTCTTCTAATTTCAAGTTTGAGGGTGGGTTGGTTTTTATTTTTATTTTGCTTTTCCTTTATACACTGGAAATTATTGTATCCAGAAAAACTCTCCTTTTCTTTTCAGCTCTTACAACTAAAAAACTAAAACTGAAATTTAATTGTTATGGAGGCACGTATGCAGTATGAGAAATGTCAATACAACTGATATTCACTACATCTCTGTAAATAACATCATCACGGTATAAGCAGAGAAAGAAATAGACCAAATGAATTTTGTTTCATCGGCTTTGTTTTAGTATTAGCATAACTTTAAAATACATGTTGAACAGTAATGTACATTTTCCCATTTAAATAGTGTAATTGTGCCTTGCAAAATATTTACACACAGTTCCTTGCAAGTAATATTTTTCTAGTAGTGACTCTATCTAGTTAAGCAATTCTATAAGTTACGAAAAACTCTTAGATATGCACATGTATTTTCCAATCTAAACCCGAGCAAAGTATAAAAGGCAGTGAAGAACAATCAAAGGCTACAGCTGCAAACCTGTTCAATATCATAGATCTCCTTTGGGCAATCTGCAGACAAGATTAATGGTACATTCTCTGTCACCACCACATCATCTTCAATGCGTATTCCTATGCCACGGAATCGTTCAGGGGCACTTGTATCATCTTCAGGTATGTAAATGCCTGGAAATAAAAATACTGATCAAAATCTATCAGATTCAGTTAGCAAATTATACAGTATATTTCTTCAGGGTTTAGAAGGCATAGCAAGTATATCTCCATTTTGATCCAATTGATATAATACAATACACACTTCATTTTGTATCAGCAGTGGAAATACTGGGCCAAACTTACAAGAATAGAATAGTTTTTACAAGCTACTCTACCCTGATATAAGTCCTATTAAGCACCCTTTTAAAATTATTTTCCTACAGACTAAATATCATGAAGGTTGCTTGTTCATAGTTAAATCTATCAAGCAAATGGCAGTGTTTTCTGGATAGTTCTCAATGCTTCTAAGATGATTGCCTTCTCACATTTATGGGGGTGAATAATAGATACAGTAGAGAGAGGATATATTAAGAATCCGAAGCTATTTAAAAACAAAACAGAAAAACAATTGCACTGAAATTTTTGAGAATAATTTTAAAAAAATAATTTTTGAGAAATGATTGTAGCAATCATTGCATAAATAAGTGGGGATTCTTCATTTCAAGATACCACACATAGACACACATCTTTTTATATTGCTTTCACTGGTGCAGTATTTTACCTGGCTCGATGGTAATCACCATGCTTGGCTGGAGGAAAGTTGATCGGGATACGTCAGGTGTATCATGAACATCCATTCCCAGATAATGCCCTACATGATGTGGACAGTATTTACGAACAGCCTATGAGGCAAAAAAAATAATACATTCCTAAAACAAGCAAAATTTGGAGTAATGTTGGATGGATATGTCTTCAGCACAAAATGTAATAGAAGCATACAATGAAAAGGAAATATAACATTAATTTGTTGTTCTTACTTATAAATACAACTATTATGTTTTCTGTTGGCACCATTTCTGCCTTGCATCTATAAAATTTACTGTTTGTTGTAAGGGCAACAGACTCTAGTCTTTAAGAAAAATATATAAATGACAATCAGTTTGGTGTTAAAGGCAAATAGTGTCTATTTTGAGCTCCAAGGTACCTTTGATTTTTTAGCTGGCAGATTCCTCTGTGGGTAAAAATTAATATTACATGGAATTGTGAGGCCATCATTTATTTCAGTATCTTGCCTAAATTTTATGCAATGTTTATTCAAAATCATTTGACCTAAGCTTGGGTTCTTGTTCAAAACCTCATCACTTTTTCCAGCAGACGAGCATGAACATAACCATTTTTCAAATAGGTTATTCTTACTGGGGTTCTGAAACTTTTCAGCTCCTGTGAATTTCACAAATCAGAGTAGGCAAGAATATCCAGAAGCAGCAGTACGCCTCACTCTGCGAGGTAGTTGGTCTATGACTTTATGTTGTTGAAGTAGCCATTACATAAAAATATTCTTAAAGAGCATAACACAAAAAAGCCCAGGATAGGATCACTTTCCATTTTAAAATGTTCTCAATACATAACTTGCAAGAGTAGCACATCTCATAACACTCTGTTTTACTTAGTATGAAATATTTTCCTACATTTGCCCGTTGAAACAGAAATTCATATTAGTTCAAAATATCCACTGATTTAAGCTAATTTTATTGGAAGCTGTACAATGCAAAACCATACTCTCTCCATCTAATATTGTTTATGCCAACAGGTTGTGGCTCTTCAGAGATCCACAAGTTTTTTCTTGCTCCATTAGAAGAGATACTGGGCAGACCAATATAGGATTGCTGGGTTAAATACATATTTAAGGTTTATTCTGTTGGCTCCCACAACTTGTGAAAAATTTCAAAATAATGCTATAGTGATGCATCTTGTATTTATCCCACCATTCCTGAAGAATTAAAACAATTGGTGTACGTGTGTGTGTGTATGTGTTTGTGTTTGTGTATGTGTGTATACATACATACATTCTGCCATCTGCTGGATGAAAGAGATACTATACTGCTAATAACCTTCGACTTATCACCAACTAATAAAGGTACTTCTTGATTCATGACAGAAATTGAGCCTGGAATTATAGTAATAAATTGAGGCATAATGTGACCATATTTGAATTTACAATTGTTTTTTACAGCAGTGGTTGTGAATACTGTGATTCTGAAGCAAATTCATTTCCCACAATGATTTTTTTTTTTTTGGTCAAAAGCTGGAAGTAAAGGTGACTCAGTTGCCAAGAGCCCAAAATGGGATTGTGTGACTGGGGGTGGGGGTGTTGTTCTAACTCCAAAAATAAATTGTAAGTAACTCTGGGGAGGTCCATCATAAGTCTAAATGATTCTTAAGGGTCAGGTTGTAAATCTATGACTATCTGTATTTCTTTTAGACCTGTATATATGCAGGAAATTACAACTTCAAAACTTAAATGGGATGATTTAAAGCAAGTCTTCAAATTTTGCAAGATTTGTGGACTTCAACTCCCAGAATTCCTGAGCTAACATGACTGGAGGAGGAATTCTGGGAGTTGAAGTCCACAAGTCTTAAAGCTGTCAAGTTTGAAAACCCCTGATTTAAAGGATTGCTCACGTTTTTTACTGTTCACTGTTGTTGTTTTTAGCCAGGGAAAATAACAGGGTAACAGATATGCAAAGAAACCAAATACCTTGAAGACCTGACCCTCACTAGTGCTATCCTTTAGGATTCCCAATTCTTTCAACTTCTGTCCAATGAGAGTTAGCATTAAATTGTAGATGTTTTCTAGGCTCACACCTGAAGAACAAAGTCTTAGGCATGACTTCTGGACCTCCAATATAGCCTGGTACAGCTCTGCCTGGGGACTAGTGAACCTGTCAATAAGAGAAAAACACAAATCAGCTCAAGTGAGATTTAAGCAGAAAGAAAAGCAAAAAATTAAATGCTAAGATGCATGTACAAAACAATTATGAGGCACAGTCCTTTGGGCTTGTTCTAGTCCAAAATGTTGGTGGAAGACTGCATACCTGAACACCTCGTTTCAAATCTTTCCGTAATTTTAACTTGGAAAATATCAGTGAAATTGATAAATAATATTTTGCCATTAACATTCTGAAATGAAATAATGACATGCAAACTTTTCTGAATTATCTGGTTTTGCAGTACCACAAAGCATATCTGAACTCTAGAGCAGGGGAAGCAGGATGCCTGTAGTACATTGCACTAAAAACTGCAATTACAGTGTTGGCAAGGATGATTCTGAAGTATAATGAAATGAAGAAATCACAATAATGAAACATTTTCAGAAAAACTGCAACCAACTTGATGTTTCTTTGCTGGGTACAGGACCTACCTGCCATTGATGGGCCAAGTGCGGGTAATGTCACTCACATAACAAGAGTATTCACACCCTCCGTCCAATAAAACCATTTCTCCATCCTGCAGCATAAGAAAAAGCAATTACTTGGCACTTAAGAATTTCATTTAAACAGTATAGTTTTTTTTAAAACAAACAGACAAACCTGGATTTATCCTTAGTGAGATAAATTACATTTGCTTTTTCATCAAATAGTTCAGCAGAGTGTAGCTTTTTATAGTTACAGTGCACTCTCCTTCTCTGCAAGCTTTGATGTTCAACTTATTTTAACACTTTCCATCACTCTTATTTTTTTTATTATTATTATTAGTTAATCTTTACTGAGATTCACAGCCTTTGGGGCTTGTTGGTAGCTCAACAGCTCGAGTCCTAACCAAGGACCTAGGAACTGTTAAGGTTGCGTCGGAGGATATAAACTGTTCCAAGTAGGGTGGTTTTTTGTAGAATCAGGGTATTCAAATCTGATAGTCAGAATTTCCAAATAGCGAGGTAGCCCTTTGGGTATTGCTCCAAGGGCTCCAATTACAATTGGGATAACACATGATTTCTTTTTCCAAAGTCATATTATTATTAATATTATTTAATTTTTAGTGAGATTCACAGCCTTTGGGGCTGGTTGGTAGCTCAACAGCTCAAGTCCTAACCAAAGACCTAGGAACTGTTCAAGTAGTTTATTATTATTATTATTATTATTATTATTATTATTATTATTATTATTATTATTAT